CCCTCCTCCTCTTCCAACCGCACCCACAACGCGCAAACAATGCACGTCGCGGGAGTCGGTGTGCTGGCATGCACAACACGTGGCCCAACCATCGGAGCCCTTTGCTTGATATAATGGTGCTGAGCGGTTCACTCGCTCTGCCTGCACCAAATACGCGACGCCGAACACGCTTATTGTTCACGCTATGCTCCCACCAGACATGAGCTAAGCTGCGAAGGCAGCGATGATCGAATATGACGAGCCTCTTTGTGTCTGTCGACCTGACGGGCCAGGTTTCACAGCCATATAGAAGAGTTGAACGGACGGCTGCGTTGTAAACTCTGCCCTTCTTCAGGGCGAGAGTAATGTCGCGTCTGCGCCACGAGTGACGGAGATTGGCAAAAACACCTCAAATTTTTCTGGACGGTTCGTAACCTCATCTTCAATCCCACGGGAGCTAATATAGTTGACCAGGTACTTGAATTCCTGAACGACTTCTAGCAGATCACCACTAAGCATTAGAGCAGGGTTGGGTCCCTGCCAATCTTGGAGAAGTACTTTGTATTTCGATGGAGCAAAGCATAGCCCAAAACGATTAACAGCCAGTGCTAATCGGTCCAGTGCTGTTTGGCATGTTTGGGAGCTGTCACAGATTAGGGCAATATCGTCCGCATACTCCAAGTCAAAACGTCGCTCACCAGGAAATAGCTCCACACCTTCTAGGTCGTGTCGAGCGAACGCTGTTTCCATGACTTCATCAATAGTGAAGTTAAAGAGGAAAGGTGATAGCGGGCAACCTTGTCTCACACCGCTGGTGATACTGAAGGGTGGCGACACTTTGCCATAAACCCTCACTCTGCCCGAACTATGCGCATACAGCGTTTTGAGAACGTTTACATATTTATCAGGCACACGTTTCCTCAGCAGACAGTCCCAAATGTCACGTCGATCGACTGAGTCGAAGGCACCTTTTATGTCAAGAAATACGATAACGCTGCGTCGCCAATAAACATGGCGGTGCTCCAACAATTGACGCAAGGTGAAGATGTGGTCGATGCAGCATCCGACCTCGACGAAATCTGGCTTCCTCTTCACGAATCTGGCTTTCACGAGTGCCAGTCAGTCTGTGGAGAATGACAGAGGCAACCAAGTTAGAAGCAATCGAAATCAGACTGATCTCTCTATGATTACCGGATTCCAAATGGGGTTTTCGCTTGAAAGTTGGGAGAATGACGGAGCGGTTCCAGTCTGTCGGGACTGTCTCCTGCTCCCAAAGTTTCACTAGCAACTCGTGTAAATCACGTATTAGAGCAAGTCCCCGAATTTGAAGAGAGCTGGGGGAATTCTGTCTGCCCACGCGGCCTTATGCAATTTCAACAACCTGATCTCACTTTCGACTTCTGTGCGTGAGGGCGAATCCAAGGAGACGGCCCAGGGAGAAGGGCGCTCAATGCCCGAAAAAGAAACCATTAACTCAGGTTAGTTAAATTGACTTGCAAAGTGTTCAGCCCAACGCTCTAAGCGTTTTGACAATCTGTGGATCGGCCGTTCACTCCCTTCGCGTATGGTCTCGCTAACACCAGGTCTTCTGCTGCCTGTTTCCCGTATCAGACGGAATAACTTCCGATGATTGCGAACGGTAGCGGCTGTTTCCATCTCAGAGGCACAATAAGACCACCAGGTTTCGCGGTCCTTCCTCAGGCTAGCACGTGTAAGGTTGGTAGCGGAAAGGGAGCTGCGGTGTGTCCGAAGGATTCTGCTGAGCTGAAACTGTTTTGGGCGACCCCCTGAGGGTTTAGAGGTAAAACGTTACCAGTGCTAAATGAGGAAATGATATAAATTTACTCCGACGGTTTATTCAAAGTGACTCCGAGTTGAGATGTCTGTTCATTTAGTATAGTAGGTAATTTGTGCCAGCAAGTCGAGTCAATCAGCGTTGCATCCATTCGCGACGTCGTTGGGCGTCGTTTACATAAAGGGGAACCAGTGTGAACTGTTCATCCGATTCAACCGATTGCCGCCAACCCTGCCTTGTCCACAAGCACGACGATTGAGTACGCTTAGTTCTCTCTTCATCATTCCACTCGTCGTCCTCAAGCACATTTTTATCGGAAATGACTTCTAAAACGCCCGACGGGTGCTTTTCTAGATGTGTAATGGCTACCTGACTGAGTTAAGATGTGATGAAATATTACTCATACCATTCAATTATCCCATTACTCCCTTGCATTTAGTAAGCAAATCGGACTGTCTGGAATGCCGTAAGCCAGTTAGCGGCTTAAATTTGGTAAGTTGTCATCCGCAGAGGGATTAACCCTAGCATCTGCACGGCAGTAACGTGCAAGTTTGTGGAGAGCGAGCCGCGCAAGATCACATGTAGCAATTTAAATGTGTCTGCTGTTGTTGTCCTTCGTGAACTGCTGATCTTGACCTCGGGACTCCTAAGAGTAGGGCCACGAGTTCTAGTATCATAGCGGAGAGATGGAATGCGAACGGATGATGAAACCAGGAAAGGTCAAACACAGATCCAGTGATTTTAAAGACATGTTATGGTCATCTAACGTGGATGAGACGAACTCAAATCGTACAGACATATCAATCGCAACCGATAGGCTGGACTGAAAAAAACAGCAGAATAAAGTAGAATGCACGCAGTTGTTGACAGTGTAGATTGTAAACCAAACGACATAATGGACAAAACAACGAAAACAAATGGCGAAATGTCAAAAGTATTTAAATCATTAATGTAACGCGAGCATGGGTAGTACGTGGCCTCAACTACAACTTAGTAAACCCAAAGAGCAGTCCTAACGTGGTAATTAAAAAAGAGTCAGTCCCCAGCTCCGCTACCCTCTTGTCGTGCAGTTACGAATGAATTGATGGGGAGTGTATAATGGAAAATAAGATTAAGTCATGTGTGGAGGTTACAGCGTAGCACAACAAAAAGGGGAAATCAGAACAGCATAAAAACCATCGACCTAAAGTGTTTCACTCAAAATACAGCGGATTCATCTGTTGAGTACACAAGGTAAGTACGGCTTGTGTCAACCAAACTGAGGTAGCAGTGGGAAAGTGGAAAAACAAACACCACACTTTCCGGAGCCCCCAGTCAGTCACACACAGAGCAGGTCATAGAGGTCCAAGACAGAAAGAAAAGGCAAGCCAAAGTCTATCAGCAGATTGATCAACACTCTTAGTTTACACTTCCCATGAGAAGTTGGCGGTCATGAACACCAAGTCCACTTTGATCACCTGGATGAACAGTGGGGATTCACAAGAGCAAGGCAACAAATCATGCGGAATGGTAATAAGCAGACAAAAGGACTGACGATATCATTTTTGCGAGCAGCGTACAGTTACTAATTATGATAAGCCACCTGATAAAGCACGCAATCGTGAAGCAGAACACCCTCAGAGCTGGCCATGGAACTAGGTATGTAAAACCCTTGAGTGTTACACTCGGCCCAGCTGAGACAAATCAGCCGTTAGGGTGAGTTCACCAGACACATACTGGTCCGGTGAGATATGGCTGACTACAAAATTGAAGCAAGCGAGATTCACAGGGTTTTATATTCTAATATTTGAGGTTATCAGGGGACTGTGGTACTGACCTGAATAGTCCGATCTACGCCCAAATTGAGTGCAAAGTGCTATTCACTAGGCTATACAGATGACAGGGGAGAAGCTGATAACTCATCAGTGGAATGGAAGATGAGAACACAAACCGTGCAGCAAAAGCTCGAGGTGCTTGTGCCAGTCGCTGCCACCGGTGGCGCCGGCGTGATATCACTCCCGCACTGAAGGGCAGAGGTTACAATGCAGCCGCCGTTAAAACCTCCTGTACAGTTGTGAAACCAGGCCCATCAAGTCAATGAACATACAGAGGATAGCTACGCTCGGTCATCAATACCTTCACAGCTTAGCCCATGTCTGATGGGAGTATCTCATGAGCAATGAGCGTGTTCAGAGAAGTGTAATTGGTGCACGAAGAGCGACTGAACCGTTCAGCACCGTTATATTACGCACCAGGCTACGATGACTGGGCCACACCTTGCGCATGCCAGCTCGAAGACTACCACGTCGTGCATTGTTTGCGTGACCGGGGTGCGGTTGTAAAATAATAATAATAAAATATATAATAATAATATGTTACTAAGAGTGTGTTGGCTTTTTGCACTCCATAATATTCAGTATGTTGCTTTCTTCACATTGCTTATCTCAATATATTGCGCCACAATAGTTGAAGTGTGTCTCGGTTTCAGCTAATATGTAATGATGATAACGCTCATAATGAAGCTGATAACTTTAGTGGCCTATTAGTAAATGCGTCTGCCAGAGAGCTTTAAGTTCTAAGTTTGACTCCCAGTAGCCTATTTGTACTTGAATGACAATCACAAGCGCAGAATCGGTGGTGGATTGGAACAAGCAACATCCGCTCTAATCCACTCCAGACAACTCCAGTGATCAAACAATCCGAGGTTTACTTCGAATCAAATCGAGACCCAACGCGACACTGTGCACGGCAGCTCATTAACACAACAGGTGGTCCAAGATCCGACAGTACATCACCACAGCCACTAGTTGCGGTGATGGACAGAACCCAGAAAAACAGGGTTCAAACGCAAACCACTCAGGGAGTACGGGTTGGATACCATATTTAACGAAACGGAAGAAGGATAGAACAGAAATAGGGGTCCCTAGCTGTCCATAGGCATGATCAAGAGATGCCAAATGTAATTTTGTTGGTAGACTACAGCTCAAAACAAAATATAACATCGAATCGTAAGCTGCACGCGACACTCAGAGGCAAGTCAATGCAATATGCGCATACGCGATACCAACCGGGCACATCTTGTGACAAACTAACGACACGATATAGAATCAAAAGCAACGCAATAAGTCGATGCATGCGAACGATCGCTCAACGTGACAGCGTGCACTACATGAGATGCGGACACAGGCAGCCAAAGAGAGATGTGGATGGATGGAAGGGATCCGATAAAAAAGAACGAGTGACCTACTGTTTTCGTAGCTGAGTCATGGGGCACACATTGGCTGCCTTGGTGTTGTGAGTCAAGCTGCGTAGTTGTTGAATCCAGTACTGAAAAGGGAAGAGAATAACATGCGCAGAGTAAGCCACCACGATTGTTTCAGGATGGAAAGAGGATGGATTTAAATACACACACAAAGCAGCTGGGTGAAATACATAGGGAAAATAGTCTCATATTGTAAAAGGCATCAGCAGTACGCCTGTACGCCGTAACGACGCCTCGTTGTCACGCAACATCCACCAGTCGCGTGTGGACTAAGCACACTTGAGAGGGTCGCCCGGTGCCATACGCAGGTTCGAATCCGAAACTTCCAGGTTGCAAGACACCAGCCTGCCTCATGTTGAAAGTAACGAGTGATGGGGTGACAGACAAGTGGACGCAGAGGTGAGAATTCTGACCCACTAGTTTCATACGACTGGCTGGCCCCGTGCGAGCGACACTGAGAAAGTAGGGGCGGCGGTGTGATTCAGTAAGAAGCTACCTCCACTAATAGAGTAACACGAATGAAACGTCTCTGCAGATAATCGAAGTACTTGTTCACCGATCTGGACAATATGCTTACATACATCTCGTCATTATTCAAAGCGAAATCATCAATGCATAGTAATAATATTGGCCTCGCTGGTAGACAAGGGAGAATTGAAAAAATCCAACGGTGGAGGCCACGGGATTCTCGACTGCTCTTTATATTCACTTTTGGCTTTATTAAATTTGCTTCAGCCGCATTCGTTGTCAAGTGTCGTGCTCCAGAATGCTTTGGTGGTCGCTATCGACCGCAGTAAGGTAGAATGAATGGTCAAAATCCCATTGGTGCATAAGTCATTATGGCTGCGGACGCAGTTACAAAAGTGGCAATCCGATGTTGCAGGCGTTTTCATCCTTTTGTCTCAGTTATTAGCAGAGAGGGCAAGATGTATCCGATTGTTTTTTGGGTTCTCCGTAGAAAATCTGACGTTTTTGTCCCTATGCTATGATAATCAAACTGGAGTATTGCTGATAAAATCCAAGAACTCTTCTAGACAAATCAAGATGAAAGCGCCATTCAGAGGAGGCTATCTTGTCCATAGCATTGAATCGGTTGCAATACGCAAGGGAAGAAAGGCAAACCAGGTCTACAATGTTTGTCGAGCGAGAGGAAGTAGCAGAACATTGACAAAGCGCAACCGAAAAACCACGCACTGTGATAGTCAGTTGTGTAACCATCCTATCGCATAAGCAATAACAAGTGCCTGATCTTGATCAAAATTTAGTAACAACGGAACGACCCGTTGTTATGTACGGCGAGTAACCGGCTGTTCGCTAACGCAGTTGGCAAGGCGATCCGTTCGTTACCGCTCCGTGAGTAAAACTGTATTGGTCTGGTGATGCTTGACTCGCGTTGCCCTACGGGCCCATTGTACTTCTTCGTGCTCCGGAGGTCGCTGTACACTGTCCATGTAACCGTGGACCAACGGTGAACCAGCGATCCAACAGTGAGAACGTGACACATTGGCGATTTGCGATTATTCGCTGGTTCTCGAGTATTTTCTGTCTGGCTAATGTTCCGAACTTCCATCCCTCAGATTTGGTTGGCCGGTTGAGAACTTAAATTCTGTGAAACAACAGAGACAACGCAGGTGCCCTGATTCACAATAAGGAAAGCCACGTGGCTCGTTGGGCGGAGGACTTTCGAGAGCAGTTCAGTTGTTCCCCTGTTGCCGGAAATCTTCATACTAGAGTGATGCGGGCTGAGCCATGGCCAGTTAGTTTAGAGACTCCGTCAGAGGCTGAGGTGCGAAACGCGATCGCAGCCCTAAATCGTTTCCGTGCTGCTGGTCCGGATTCGTTCACACCTGCACTATTTGAAAATGGTGGTGAGGTCCTCTGCGAAGCACTGACTCCATGTATGAAGAAGGAAGCAGGAAACCGTCCCGGCAAACTGGATTAAATAGATTATAGTGGCAATATACAAGAAGAGCAGTCGCAGACTGTGTTAACCACGGTGGTATTAGCCTAACGCCAGTTGCGACAAAAGTACTAGCCTCGAGTCGCGTTCGTCGCCTCACTGCGGAACGGGAATCCCGCATTAGGGAAGAGAAATCAGGTTTCCGCCATAAACGGGGCTGTATTTACCACATCTACACATTGCGAGCGGTGCTAGAGCAGCACCACGCAAATCGCAGGCCGACAATAGCTGTGTTCCAAGAGTGCGTTCGATTCAGTCGATCGATCCATTCTGTTCGAAATAGTTGCGCGGAAAGGTGTTCCCATGAAATACGTGAACAACTACGTGCACTGTACTCGAACACGACAGGCCGTGTCAGGGTTTACGATGAACTGGCGTAAATCAGGGTTGTCCAATTTCCCCATTATTGTTCAAGTTCGTCGTGGACTCTATCATGGAAAGTTCCCTTCCGGAATCTCACGATGCAGTAGTTGAGCTGCTGTTGGTGAAAGGCTATTTGATCTTGATTATGCGGACGATATCGTCTTGCTGTTTAACTAGGATGGGGCAGCGCAAACAACCATGAATAGCCTCTCTAGAGTGGCCCCATTATGTGGTATGCGCTTCGCACCATCAGAGAGCAAATTGTTGCTGCAGGACTGCCAGCCACTTGATGAGCCCTTGATCGTGGATAGCGAGGAACTCGAGGTAGTCGATCAATTCACTTACCTTGGCAACTGTATGTGCAACGATTGGCGCATAGCAACTGAAGTCAGTTCACGTATTGTAAAAGATAGAACTGCCTTCTGGAATCTGCGACATCTATGGCGTCAGAAAGGAGTTACCTGCCGTCTGAAAGGTCGTGTTTACAAGGCCACAGTAGAGGCCGCCCTACTCTGGAAACGAGATATGGCCTCTCCGATGTGAAGACCGCGCCGTCTTCAAGTCTTTCATCATCGCTGTTTGCGATAATAACTAGTCGGATAGCAGCAGCGTGTCGGAATGATGGTGTGCGTAAGCATTGATAACCAAGCTAGATCTGCAGAACAACAGATAGTACTGAATAAGTTGTGTTAGTTCGGCAACATACTACGTATGCCTGGTCACCGCTTTCCGATGAGGGCCTTATTTTGTCTGCCAGATGTGGCTCGAGGTGGACAAAAGTTGAGTTGGAAGCGGCAAATAACGTCACTGATGACCAAACTCGGTGCCGTCGGTCCGTCTCGGTTTCCATACTGAAGTCCACTTGACTCACCTTTACAGGATATGGCTCGCAATCGGTACAAGTGGCGCGTCTGTTGCCATCTCCTAGTCGGACTGAGTGTTTAAAGTGTGTGGGTTAATGGCAGTATGACGCGGAGCAGTAAAAGTCGCAAGGAAACTGTCTCGCTGATACCGCCTTTTCACGATAACCAGCTGTTTGTGATGGTATGTTGTTGACACAAGGTGTAGGCGCCTTGACCCTGAATGTTTGCTTACGGTATGTAACCCTTCTCTCACTCTTATTATCTTTCGTTCCGCAGGCCGTGATGGTTGGATGGCAGCGAAGCATCAGTTCAAATGGCTGATGTACTGCAGATGATGATGACGGCCTCCGTGGGTTATCCTTCTGTTTCCTGTCTGCAGATTGGCCGTCGCTATTCTCCGGCACAGGTCGTTGTATCGTTTGAGCTGATACAGGCCATAGTGGACCTTTCCACATTGATGTTGTAACCAATACCCACAATTTGATCAACACTACACAGTCAGTTAAGAATAGCTAAAAGAATTTCGAGGATGAGTCCAACTGTTGAATAGTGCATAATAAATTATGTGGGAAAGGGCACAATTGCGGATACGAGTGCAGTGGCCGTCGGAAAGCAGGACTCCAGGATTCGAGCAGCAAGAAGACGATAAGCCTCACAAGATATGAGGTGTGTTCTCACTATGAGAGGGAGTAGGTGACCAAAGAACTTATGAGCTAGCAGAAGGAAAAAAATGGGAGACATAACGGGAAGCCGTACAACATTGCCATCTTGGTGAATACATTTTGTGGCATTGTGATATATAGCGGGGGAAGGAAAGAAAAAGGGAGAAAGAACAAAGCGCACCACATTTCAAATGAATGAAATTGACAGCTGTATGTGAGTTATCACGATCGAAAATGTGAAGTCGTACGGAATAGGGAATAAAAACGACATAATTGACACGAATGCCAGCAAGCTTACGGAAGCCGTTTCGGAGTCCGGTGCAATCATGTGAGTATAGATGATGTTAACCATATCTAGACCACTGCAGATGGTGACGATTCGGTCCCATGAGATGCCAGGAGAGCGTTCTTGTATTTGGGAGACGAGTTTTTCATCCTGTAGGCGATAAGAATGGTAAAATAGTCAAACACATGCAGTGAGATCGGTCAAACGAAAGGAATGGGCAAGAATGAGGCGCTGCACCCAAGTGAAGCAATTGTATGAGACACAAGGTGCGGATAGGGGACGGTTGTCACAATGAAAATTGGTCTGTGGATTGCGAGTACCTCACCGATGACCACAACTTCTGTTTCGGTCTGTGCTGCCCGGTCGAAACCATCTGCTTAAGGGTAGGCAGGTTCTTTGCAACATCATTTAAACAACACGAAAGGAATAAAGGACGTGTCTATACGTAAAAAAGGACTATAGGTGTCAAAAGACTCTTCTGGAATAAAAGCCAAAGTATCACGATCGTAGAAGTTGTACGTAGAATCTATTTTGTGACACTACAATTGCTAAGATTTCTGGAGGCTTTTAAAGAAGCTGTGTGGTAAAATTTCCGTAGAGAGCTTGGTGTGGTGGATGAGAAATTCAATGCTCAGTTCTGCTCTTCCTCACAGAATGTATTATCCGCACATCTACTCTCCGGATCAGGTCCTACAGCTGAACTCCATCCCTTCAAAATCAACCATGGACTAGAAGAACCAAGCTCAAAAAGACTAGCGGTCCCGATACGCTTTCACTAGTCATGTTGAAGGATGTCACCCACCCCTTCGCCATACTTCTCACAGATCCTTTCAATCTTCGTCCAAATGGCGGCACTACCCTAACATTCAGAGGCCTGTAGTGATAAAGCACGAATCTAAAAAGAATTCCAAAGATTTCGTCCGATCGTCCGAACATTTACGTTTCGGTGGACGTCCACAACGTCGCTGTGCGCGCATAGACACAGCCGAGTGGCGAAGCCAGGTGTTCTAAGTGTGTATGAAAGTACGCTGGCATGCAGGCTGAGTAAGCGCCCAGTGAACACAGTTGAAGATCACTGGTTGCGTTTTCAGAAAACGTTACCAACAACAGGCATGTCTTCATGTGGCAAATCAAATCACCAACCTGGACATTAGGTCTCTAACCAATCTCTCGAACTCACAGATATATTCCGGCTGGAAGCGAATACAGTGAGACATGCAACAAAACTCGGGGCAAAACTGCGTGCTAGACTGAAGAGACGACGAAGCCTGCTCTTATCGTAACGTAGAGGTGGAGATAGCCGCTGCACATGGTAACCATCGAAAGTAATTCTGTCTGATAAGGGAAACGGGAAATGGTGTTAGCGAGACCATACACGACGGGAGTGGACAGCCGATCCACAGATTGTCAAAACGCTTGGAGCGTTTGGCCGAACAGTTTGCAAGACAGTGTAACCAATCTGAGTTATCACCTTCTTTGTCGGGCATTGAATGCCTATCTCCATTGGCAGTATCCCAAGATCTGCCCTCACGCACAGAAGTCGAGCGTGAGATCAGACTGTTGAAATTGTATAAGGCCGCAAAGGCAGATCGAATTCTCCCAGCCCTCTTCAAATTTGTGGGAAGATAATTTACACGAGTTACTAGTGAAACTTTGGGAATAGGAATCTGTCCCGACAGATTGGAGCCGCTCCGTCATTGTTCCAACTGTTAAGGGAGACTCCTATTCGGAATGCGGCAAGCATAGAGGGGCCAGTCTGATCTCAATTACCTCAGAACTGATTGCGTCTGTCATTCTCCACAGATTGACTGGCACTCGTGAAAGACAGATTCGTGAGGAGCAAGCCGGGTTTCGTCGAGGAAGGGGCTGCATCGACCACAACTTCACTTTGAGTCAAATGTTGGAGCACCGTCACATATATTGGCGGACCCCCGTAGTCATGCTCTTCGACATCAAAGGTGTCTTCGATTCGTTTGATCAATGCGTTCTTTGGGACTGTCTGCTAAGGAAAGGTGTGCCGAGAGATACGTAAATATGAGCGTTACATGCGCGTAGCTCGGGCAGTGTGAGGTCTTGTGGCAAGCTGTCGACGCCCTTCAATATCAGTGGCGTGAGCGAAGGGTGCCCGCTGTCACCTTTCCTCTTCAAGTTCCCTATTGACGATGTCATGGAGATCAAGTTCGCAGGACACGAATTAGGTGTGGAGCTGCTCCCAGGCGAACGACTTCTTGTATTGGAATATGCTGACAATATTTCCCCATCTGTGACAGCTCACAAACGTGCCAAGCTACATTGGACAGATCAGCACTGGCTGGCAACCGTTTCGGGCTATGCTTTGCTTCAACGAAATGCAAAATCCTTCTCCAAGATTGGCAGGGAGTCACCTCTGCGCTGACCCTCGGTAGCGATATGCTTGAAATCGTTAAGGAATTCAAGTACCTGGGCAGCTACATTAGCGTCCGCGGGATTGAAGATGAGGCTACAAACCGTATAGCAAAAGCTCGAGGTGCATTTGTCAACCTCCACCATCTATGGCGCCGACGCGACATCACTTTAACCGTGAAGCACAGACCTTATAATGGAGCCGCCCGTTCAATCTTACTGTACGGTTGTGAAACCTGGCCCATAAGGTCGACAGACATAAAGGGGCTAGTCACGTTCAACTATCGCTGCTTTTCAGTTCAGCTCATATCTGATGGGAGCACCGCGAAAGCAAAGAGCATGTTCGGTGTCGTGTATTTCGTGCAAGAAAAGCAAGTGAACTGCTCAGCACAACTATATCACGTCACAGACTCCGACGGCTTGGCCATGTGCTGCGTAGGCCAGCACACCGATTCAAGTATCGTGCGTTGTTTGCGCGTCGGGAGTGCAGTTGGAAGAGGAGGAGAGGAGGCCAAGCGATGACTTGGTCGAGATAAATGAAAACCCTCACTTCGAAATTGGCGCTGGCTGGTGCATCGCGGCTGCCTGGCTGGGGTCCCAAGGACGATGAATACGTGTGGCTGGACACACTTGCTGATATCGTGAACAGCCGACCCCAATGGCGTTTATGTTGTTTCTTTGTCCACGCTCCTCCACTTTAGATTCCCCCCGAATTACGATCTCATGCGAAATGTATAATATAATGTGTTGCTTTTTGAATTCATTGTAGTGTAAATTTTTAGTCGCTTATCTTTCTGTATTGCGGCACATTACCCGAATGTGTTTCTTACCCTCAGCTAACGTGTATTGATGATGACGATGACATTGATGAAGCTAAAGTCTGCTAGAGACTAATCATTCCACGGATTTGTAGAAATGCCCAGTCGAATAATGTCGCACAATATGCCCATAAACCCTAGCGTTCCATGTTGGATTCTGTAGCCGGCGCTTGACCTTAAGGGTCACAAGCCTGCCTTGTAATCCCGAGGTCGCGAGCTCGAGTCTGCGTAGGGGACCGGGCGACCCCGCAGCGTAGCGGCGTACTGCTGATACACCTTTCCTATTTAGCAGATTTTGTTTATTTAACAGCATTTGCACTGAATGCAATTTTACCCAATCTACTGCTTGCGAATAGTGGTCAGCTACCAGTGTGCAAATGGATGAGCAAGTGCTGCGCATATTATTCGCACATGATCCATTAGTCTGCTAGTCAACGAGATAGCTGAGATGTTTATCAAGGAGAGATTCTCTCCTCTCTACTGTTTCAAAAGATTTTCATCCCCTTTAACTTTATGGGACGTAAGTACGCGGACAACATCCCTTAGGCAGCATCACCCCTAATGTTGAGTCAATTCTGATGCTTCAAAGCGAGTTGGATGAGGTCGAGCGGTGGCCGCTGTCCCGGTCCCCTATTCGCAACGCTTCCAAATGTCGTGACGCAACTTTATCTCATTGCCGCAGTGACAAAGTCCGGAATGCGACAAATACAACATGCCACCCTGTCTTGAGTGATTAAATCATGTCCGTTCATTCAATAAGAAGTAGTCAGGTGCATTATTATCACGAAAGCTATCTTGGTTAACTCATGCTGACAAAACTTTTCACAAAGCAATAAGGCTAGTATGTTATGCGTTTATTGCCATAAATCTAATTTTCATGTTACGGACTGGTTGTGGCCTTCCTCCTTGGTTGTACTGATCACCCAGCATTTGCCATGGTCTTTCTCAAAACCACTTACTATGGCTTCACAGTCCACTAAGCCCATCTGTAAGTGGAGCGGACTACCACCGTCTCGTAGAGTTCAATGATACAAAGAGTTTAAGGACACTTTATACTACTTGTCCAATAAGCGACCAAGAACTCTTATCATTTTGTGCCTAAAGTTCGGTTTTATAACATTATATTGTCACAATCGCACCTTATTGTATACATCACGTCTTCTCGCGGACACACAGAAAGACGCCTATGTCACGCGCGAATGCACACTTACTGGGCACATATGCACATACGCATTTTTCACCCTTTGTTTGCAGGTTTAGATTAACGCCAGACCTCATGACACCTGTAGTGTCAGTGTTAAATGTTGCATAGGTACACATTCAAGTTCATAAAGCATATTTTCATTTGACTTGACTCAATGTGTGTACAAAATAGTTATAATAAAATGTGGACAGTATGGGGTGTACAAACTATTGCAAATGTGTTCGAAAACCGGGAGAAGGATTTTAGTGTTCGCAGATTTTAAATCGCGACAAAAATAATCTCAGCTTGAAACGCGATCCATCCGGAGACAAGCGGCCGCCAGGACAAGCACTGAGACAGCGTCAGAAGTATAGTAAGTATGAATGGTCTTCGCATCCCACGCTGTACTTAATGATCGATTTCGTTATGGTGATAAGTGGCTGAAGTTCGACCCCGATAGGATCTACGACAGACTCCTGCATCACCACACTCCTTAACTCGATTCGAAGTAAAAATTGTCTGAAGACGTCTTGACAGCCGCGTCAACGAGCTCCGCGTGGAACACAGCCACAACAACTAAGGCGCCATTATCAAACTGCTTGTTTGCGGTACCCGCTGCATGAAGCAACTGCGACACGCAATATCAACAGAGAGCACCACCTGCTTGGGAGTAAACCTCGGACGTTTCAGGCACAAATTCTGCCGGCAAGAATGAAAACAGGACGAAGCAAGTCGCATTGTGTACGTTAGAAAGGCAGGATCAACTG